ACTTCCTTTTTAGACTAATCCCTAAATTGTTTGTTTGGGGTTTTTTTGAGACAGCATCTTGCTATATATATATCCCAGGCTGGCCTCTCTCACAGCAGTCCTCCTACCTTAGCCTCCTGAGTACTAGAATTATATCCATGTGCCACCATGTCTGGCAGTATTTAATTTCTCTGGAAGCTGTTATGAGTAGTATTGTTTTCTTAATTTCTTTCTCAGTGGGTTCATTATTGGTGTACAGAAGCACTGCTGATTCTTGTATGTAGGTTTTGTACCCTGCTACTTCATTACGTTTGTTTTTTATATCTGGCTAAAGTTTCAAGTATAGCATTAAACAGGGACGATGATAGTGGACTTTGTCTTGTTTCTGATTTTAGAGTAAAAACTTAGTTTTTCTCCATTCATATGATCTGATGTTGGTAATGGGTTATTCTGATGTTGGCAGTCATAAATGGCTTTTATCAGATTGAGAAAAAGTCCTTCTATACCTTTTTTTGTTTGTTTTTTTGAGACAAGGTCTTGCTATGCATTTCAGGCTGGCCTTGAGCTCACTTTGTAGCCCAAGCTGGCCTCAAACTCCCAACAGTCCTCCTGCCTCAGCCTCCTGAGTGCTGGGATTACAGGCATGCACCACAACGCTCAGCGCTGTGTCCCTATTTTTTTTTTCAAGGGTTTTTTTTTAATCATGAGCAGATGTTGGATTATTTTATACTTTAAGACAGCATTTCATTAAGTTGCTAACTGCCCAGCTTGAGCTCGAATTTATAATCCTCCTGCCTTAGCTTCCAGAGTGCTGGGATTATAGGTGTGCACTACTGTGCCAGGCTTAGTTAATCAGTTTTGAGCAGCTTTACTATGCTTGCATGTGAGTCATTCCAGGAGAAAATTTTATAAAAGTCTCCTTTTAAAATATTTTCAAGTTTTAATATTTCAGAAATATTTTCAATACAGAGTTCAGTGGATAAGTGATTGCATCATGGTATCTGACACCAAAATATCAACCTTAGAAAAATAAAGTATCCTATAGGTGGTTGGGTTTTGTTGCTTTTGTTGTTTTGTTTTGTTTTTTGTTTTTACATTGCTGGGGATTTAGCCCAGGGCCTCCAACAGGCTAGGTAAGCACTCTGCCACTGAGTGCTGCTTGTGAACGGCTTTTACATCCCCAGCCCTTTTTATTTTATTTGGGAAGTCTCACCAAGTTAAATCAGGCTGGCCTCAAGCTTGTGAGCCTCCTGCCTCAATCTCCCAAAGAACTGGGATGACAGCTGTGCCCTTCCAGGGCTGGCTGGATCTCATTTTATTTTGTCTTTACCTCCATTGATTAAATAGTTCTACTGGGACTTTTTTCCTATCTGGATAACAAAAACAAACAAAACAAACCTTTAGCATCACCAGGGTGCCTACAATTGAATACATTCCTGTTATTACTTAACTCAGAACTTTCTTTGTTTTTCTGTTTGTACTCAGTCTTCACTCAGTGTCTATATCAGTGAGTAAGAAGAAAAGGCAGTGAATTCAGAGTTCAGAGTATCATGACTAACGGGCCTTGAAAGCTTATTGGAATAGATTCTGACTGAGCGTGGTGGCACATGCCAGTAATCCCAGCACTTGGGAGGCTGAGGCAGGAGGATCATTGTGAGTTCGAGACCAGCCTGGGCTACAAAGTGAGCTCAAGGCCAGCCTGAACTGCATAGTGACACCCTGTCTCAAAAAGGCAATAAAATAGATTCTGGAGGACTACAATCTAACTTGAGTGATTTGTGGTATTTTGTATGGAAGAACGAGATACCTGATATTTACTGTTTCTGTTAATTGTTAGATTAAAGGTATGCAGCTACATGAAAATAAATACCAGCTGCAACTTGGACAGTGGCGTAGATTTGGGACTTTTCATTGGCATGTATTGAATTTATTTTCATGTATTGAATTTCATGTATTGAATGTATTGAATTTCATGTATTGAATGCTAGATTTAGAATTGGGCAAGTTATTTCTTTTAACCTACCCTTAAATTGATAAGAATAGAAACAGTAGGCTAGGTTAGGGTAATGACTTATACTTAAATCATTGTGCCTGTGGTCATGCCCAGGAAGACAACTTGGGAGTGCCAAGGTCCAGTGTGGCCCCTTTTAAGTTTAATGTTGGCAGAGATACTATCTACTCTGAGAGATGAGATTGCATTTACATTGAACAGTATATCTTGAAATTTTAAAATTGGATAGTTTCAGCTATTTTTTGAAAATGGAGTGTCAAACTAAAACTAGTAAGAAGGTATTGTCCTTATTTTTGAGGAGGTTTTTAAAAAATTTATCTTTAATAGAAAATTCTAAACATATGTCAGATAGGCTGATATGAGCCTCCACTGGCTTCAAAAAGTTATCAACAAGTGGCCAGTCTTACTTTATCAAATTCAGAGGTACAGAATTTTACCTCGCTTCACCAATTTTATGTCTTTGTGTCCTTTCTCCCTGAATGTGCAGGTGTTCAGAGATACAATGTAAACTCCTTGCCCAGCACTATGAAGAAAGTGCTTCTTGTTTACAAATTAGCATTGTATTAAATAATTTTCATGTTAATACTACTTCATAGTTCAGATTTTTTTCATACACATTCATATATGATCCTCATGTCAACCCTTTAAGGTAGATGGGCTCTTTTAACCTACCCTTAAATTGTTAAGAATGGAAGTAATAGGCTAGGAACAGGGCATGGTGGCACATACCTGTAATCCCAGAACTCAGGAAGCTGAGGCAGGAGGATTTCTGCACAGTTCAAGGCCAGCCTGCACTACAAAGCAAGACGGTGTCTCAAAAGAACAAAACAAAACAGAAAAACAGAAAAAAAAAAGGCCAGGTGTTGCTACTCACAAATCATCTGTGTCCCAATTCACTGCCTTTTTCTTCATTGGTTGATTGCAGATGCTGACAAAGACTCATCTACAAATAAAAAACAAAGTTCTGAGTTAGGTAATGACAGGAATGTATATATTCAATTGTAGGCAGCCTGGGGAAAATGTATTTGAAAGAAGAAACTTTTTTAATTTCATAAATGAAGATACTTGTTCTTCTCCTTCCCCTCCTCTTCCTCTTCTTCCTCATCTTATTCTTCCTTTTCCTCTTCCTCTTCCTCTTCCTCCTCCTCTTCTCTTTTTCTTTGAGACAGGGTCTCACTTTCATCAAGTTTAAACGTGGCATATTGTGAGTAAGCTAAATGTTCCTACTTCCAGGTAGAGAAAGAAGAGAATAATTCTAAGTAGAAATTCTCACTTGGAAAAGCAGTGATCAAGTCTTGCTGAACAAGAATAGCTGAGTCTCTGACCTGGTGATAAAATTTCCTTGGGTGATTTATCTGACGGCCCCTGGTTCTGCTTCCCTGGGCATGTTTTTTTGTTTGTTTGTTTCGTTTTTTTGTTTTGGTACTGGGAATCGAACTCAGGACCCTGTGCTTGCTAGGCAGGCACTGTGCTACTGAGCTATATCCCCGGCCACTTGGTTCTGCTTCCTAGGAATATTTCTTTTGCCTATTGCCTACAGGAGATCTTTTTCTTTTCTGTTGTTTACCATGGCCATAGCTGAGTTCTCCATCAGGGAGCATGTCAGAGAAGGTCCTTTTTAAAGGGTGTAACAAGCCAGGAGTGGGTAGTGCATTCATGTAGTTCCAACACTAGAGAGGCTGAGATGTGAAAATTAATGTATATATTATGTATATATTCATTATATATATATTATTATATATTATATATTATGTATATACTCATTACTTGAGTCCAGGAGTTGGAGGCCCACCTGTGCTGTAAAGTAAAATAAACACGTGTGTGTGCGCGTGCGCGCGCGCATGCGCGCGCGCACACACACACACACACACACACAATGTAACAACCTGAATATCCATCATTAGGGAATGTGGTAAATAATTGTACTATGTCCACATAGTAGTTTACTCAATTAAGATAATACAGATGTATGAATAAGGAATGAACGTCAAGATAGAAGTAAAAATAACTAGCCAGGTGTGGTGGCACAGACCTGTAACGCCAGCACTCTGTAGGCTGAGGCAGTCTGAACTACACAGTGAGACCCTGTCTCAAAAAGACTTTAAAAAAAAAAAAAGAAAAATAACTAAAGGAAGGTCAGGTGTGGTGGCTCATGCCTGTACTCATAGCACTCAGAAGGCTGAGGTAGTAGGATCACTGCAAGTTCGAGGCCAGTGTGGGCCATTTAGTGAGACTCTGTAGCCAAAAACAGAAACTGAAGGAAGAGTCTTGGATTTGATAGACTTGCGAGGAAGGAGAGAAATATACAATATGTTGAATATACTTGGATAGTAGATGGTTAATTTTGCTTGTTAACATAATTGGCTTGACAGAGAGTAGTAAAGCATACTTCTGTGTAGATGATAGGGTTGTGACCTTAGGGGCTCTATCTGGACCCTGGTCCTTCCTCTCTGGTTCTTCTTCTGTGCTCTGCATCCTGGCTGTCATGAAGTCCACAGCTTTCCTCTGCCACCATGATGTTGTATTTGGAGCCAGCCAGCCATGGATTGAAACCTGAAATTGAGCCAAAATAAGCCCTTCCTCCTGTTGTCCCAGCAACCTAAAGATGACCAGTATCGTATATGTAAGAAATTGTTAGCCGCAGCGCCTCTGGAATGTGGTCACAGATCAGAACTAGGAGGGACACTTAGTTTTCATTTTTTACCCATTTATTCTAGATGAATTTTTACCATGTGCACATATTTCTGTCTCAATGTATATGCTTCCTAAGTAGAAAGAAGAATGACAAATGCTTTATGAGTCTTTGAGATTCATAAAAAACGTTTACCTCTTAACTGCCTTCAGAGACCCCCCCAGAAGGTGGAACTAGGCCTTTGGTATTTTCATTTTCCGGATGGGTGGGCAGTTAAGCCCTTGGCTGTCCAAGCACATACTGTAAGGCTTTGACTTCTACTTTTTCTTTATCCTATTTAGCAGCCATGTAAGATGCATATTCCCTTTTCTTCTACAGTGGAAATTTTACTCAGTCGACAAAAGAAAGCCGAGCTTCTAAAGAAGATGACTGATGTGGCTGTGCGGATGTCAGAGGAGCAGTTGGTTGAGCTCAGAGCTGATATCAAGGTAGAACTTCCCTCTCTCTGCCTTTTCTTCTCACCCTCAGGGATTAAAGTAGCAAATCTCCATAATTCATGGCCTTATGTAATGTATCAAACTCATGATCTTTCCCTTCCAAACCTGGCCCTCTCCCAGGTGCCCTTCCTTTGTAGAAGTGGTACTGTCATCTGCCCAGTTGTCCAAGCTGAAAACCTTAGGAAACATCTCCATTTCCCACATCAAATGTATCAGCAGACCCTGTCCATTTGACCACCTACTATATCTCAGTTCTGACCTTTTCTCTTCATCTCTACCACCATCTTCACAATCAAGCTACCACCATCTATTGCTGGGATTTCTGTATAAGTTTATTTATTTTTTTATTTTTTGGCTTTTTGAGACAGGGTTTCACTATGCATTTCAGGCTGGCCTCGAACTCACTTTGTAGCCCAGGCTGGCCTCCTAGTAAGCCTCCCAAGTGCTGGGATTATAGGCCTGAGCCACCATGCCCAGCTTCTCTGTATAAGTTTTTACTTGATTATCGCCATCCACTTTACCACTGCTCCACCCTACCTGCGTGTTCCTCACACTATAGTAACCTGCTTCACACTTTCCGGTGTTTTTAAGATAAATATTATAATTCTTTTTTTACTGGCGTTTGTGTGTATGTGTGTTGAGACAGGGTCCCACTATGTAGTTAAGGCTGTTGTTGAAGTAAATATGTAGCCCAGGCTGGTCTTGAATTTGTAGTGATCCTCCTGCCTCAGCCTCCCAAGTGTTGGAGTTACAAGCACAAGCGTGCACTAAATTCTTAAATAGACTGCAGAGCTCCTCCTGGCCTGGCTCTGCCACCACCCTTATTTCATACCAGGCTCCTTTTCCCTCTGGGCTCCAGCTGCAGCAGCGGGGCCTTGTCACAGACACTTCTTCTTTTCGCTGCTGGAGTCCACAGTAGCCACCTTCACCTGTGCCAGCCATTGTTTTCTCCCTCTGAGCACTCCTGACCTACTCACCTTGCTTGCTTCCCTGCGTTGTGCTGGGCTTTCATAGCAATTAGAACCTTACATGCATTTGATTAACCTGTGGTCTCTGCTAGACTCAGTTTCACAGCAGCAGGAGCTACTGTATCCCCAGTCCCTAGTGAAGTGCTTGAGACATAGTAGGCGTTCAGTAAATGACAGCTGTTGATCAATTCTGATTTTTTTTTTTTTAAGTACTGGGGAATGAACCCAAGGGCTCACCTAGGCTAGGGAAGCATGCTACTACTGAGCAACATCCCCAGCCCTCAAATTTGATTTTATAGGAAAAATTAACAATTTGAGAGGTTGATTGTTATAATCTCTGAGGATTACTGGGATTTAGCATTCATGCCATTTATTTATTTAAATTTATTTATTGCGGTACTGGAGATTGAACCCAGGGTTTTCACCGTGTCTACATCTATATCCTTTTCTAAAATGTTTTTGTTTTGAGACACAATCTCATTAAAGTCATTAAGGTGTCCAGGCTTCACTGATAACTTGCGATCCTCTTGCCTCAGCCTCTCAGAGTGTGTAGCAATTACAGGAGTACACACCATGCCCAGCTTACTTTTATACCTTTTAAATTCTTATACAAAGAACAGTGTCTCTGAGACTAAGCACATGAACCCAGAAGATCTTAGGGCATTCATGGATAGTTACAGACAATGAAGGTGGAAGTAATTGTTCATAGCAGTGAGCTATATTAACAGGGGAGTTGGCCTTTTGTACTCCTGAGTCCTTAGCCTCTGATCTTTCTGAACACAAGCTTTGTTGCCAGATTTGATAGGAACATTGCTGCAAAGACTTAAATCAGTTTTTGTAAAGTAAACATAGGTGAAGGTCTAGGACCTTTCAGGGGTCCTTGTTGTCACTTGGAGCCAGTGTTTCATAAAAAACAAATAGAGGGTTACTGTCCTCTCACTGCTTCCCCTCAGAATCTGTTGGAGTGAAATACCGAAACAACACCACACACATTCACACATACTTTTTTTTTTTGAGATCGCTTCAGGCTGGCCTTGAATTCACTATGTAGCCCAGACAAGCCTCAAACTCACAGCGGTCCTCCTCCACAGCCTTCTGAGTGCTTGGGATTGCAGGCACCCAGCTGTAAACAGCACTGACTTTAAATTACCGTGTCCTGTTTAACTAAAACTATATTACAAAATTTTATAGAATTATCTTCCTCCTATTGATGCCAGTCAGTCTCATTCAACTATCTGGGAGAAACTGGAAACCCCTTTGGAATTAGACGAGAATTCTGGCTAGGCTTTATCTGTTCCCCTTCCCATGTGGCTGAAAAGCTGCTAGAAATATTTCTGCAGGCTGACTAAGGCTTTGTTGCTCTGCGTGTTTTCAGTGTACTGGAGTGGGTGCTGTGCCATTTAAATGTCTTATTTCCAGATCATTATATTTCCGTCACTCCTGTTATGTCTTTGGCTCAGCAAACCCTAGAATTTGTTTCTGAATTAATCTCATACTGATATTAATGTCTGAAGGACCTGTTACAAGAGGTTCTTGTGCTTTCCTCGCCACAGCACACTCAGAAGCTCTAGGACATCAAGGCCCGGAGATAATTTTTCTCTCTCCTCTCCCTGCCAGTGTTTCTGGATGCATCCCAAGGGTTCTGATGCATTCAGTGTGGGAGAACACCACCCCCAGTTAAGAGAACTGCTGTGAGCACTTCGATTCTTCCAAAGTCTATCTAGGCTCTTAACTTTTGTTTTTTATCTGTTTCATTTGAAAAAATTATTCCAGGCTACCTTGTGTATTGACATAGATCTCCAGAAGCACTTTATTCGTGTTATGTTTCTAGTTCCACAATTTCTGTAGTATAGTTTTTGACCCAAGGGTTTGATTACTTCTCAATTCAGTCTGCTTAAAAGGATTAAATCATTTGCAGCGTAAACTCTTCCTGTTTGCAAACTTGACTTTTCACATGAATGATCTTCCATCTCAAGAAATTGTTCCTATTTGAAAGACTATGAAATTCTACTTTGTAAAGAGATGAAGTGGACTTCCTAAAGAAGTTCATATTGAAGAACACCAAACTAGCTATGCAAATGGGATCATTGTCATAGCTTTTGAACATCTTTGCTGCCCCTGCTTCTGTATAAAATGCAACAGTATGGAGAATAGCCAGTGGTGGGAGGCTGCTTTGCTGCTATAAATTTTCTCTCCTCTTTCCTTTCTTACCATTTCTAAGTATACCCACTGGGCTTTGACCGTCACGTAGCATTCCATAATATTTCCAAACTTATCTTTGGGCCTTTGAGAAAATGAGTGAGTTTGTTTGATCACCCAGCATTGGTAATGTGACGGTCACTTAGTAAACTGTGAAGCAGTTGAAAGAAGAAAATGGAAAATAATGCTGTTTATAGTCCGGGCATGGTCCCAGCATGGCAGCACATTTCTCCCAGAAACAGTCGGGAAGACTGCCACGAATTCAAGGCCAGCCTGGGCTACATTATATAGTGAGACAAGACCTTGTCTGTAAAACAAACAATGGGTCAGGGATATAGCTCAGTGGCACAGCACCTGCCTGATAAGCAGGAGGTCCTGAGTTCGATTTTCGGTAACCCTAAAGACAAACAAACGAAAAAGAACACTCTTTCACCTATGTATAGCAAGTTATAGTTTCCTTGTACAGTGTTTGTCTAACCTGCAGACATCTGCCCTTTCAAATCCAGCACTTTGTTAGCGAACGTAAATATGATGAGGATCTGGGACGAGTAGCCCGGTTCACTTGTGATGTGGAGACTCTGAAGAAGAGCATTGATTCATTTGGACAAGGTAAGATGGTGAGAGACTCTGGGTCGTGCAGCCGTCACTGTTAACGAGTGACTGACGTGCTGACTAGCCTCTCCCCTGAGCTCCTCAGTGACTCTTGTTCTCTTGTTTTTATGAAACATAACTTTGAATGTACTTTGAACTCTGAGGATATTTACCAGCTCCGTGTGTTATAAAATGCTCTTTTTCTACTATTTTCTGCTGAGTTTAGAGGCATACACCATAAAGAACATGGAACTCTGGAATCAGACCACGTTTGAATCCTTCCCCGGGCAGATAGCTTGGAACCTCCCTTTACTCATCTTTAAATGGAGATAACAAGAGATAACAGTTCTTGCCCTGCCTGGCACATAATAGTTTTTGTATGCGTCCATGTGCATTTGTGTGTCTGCGTCTTTGCCCATGTGGGTGTCCCTGTGTGTGTGGTACTGAGGATTAAACTCCAGGCCTTCACAGTAAGCTGTATCCTCAGCCCCTTTTTTAATTTTTAATTTTGAGAAAGAGTCTTGCAGCGTTGCCCAAGCTGGGCTTGAACTTGGAATCTTGCAGCTTCAGCCTACTAGGATGCTAGGATTATAGGCATGTATCACCGTACCTGGCTAGTGGGCCCTTAAATAGTAGCATTAAAGATTAGGGAGGGTGCAGTGCCTCAGATTGAGAATTTCAACCAGGGTCTGAACTCGGCTCCACTGTTTTGTCTTCTGTAAAAGTGAAATGCTGGGGCAAGGGCTGTGTAGTTCAGAGCATAGGCCTACATGTGTGAGGCCCTGGGTTAGATAATCGCTCTGCAAGAAAAATGAAATAACATTTAAGTGAAATGTTAGCCTTAGGACAGTGATTGTTCACTCATCATTAGTCCAGACTTCAAGCCAAGAAAAAAGTCTGAGGAGTAATTTTAAGCCATTGAATTCTGACAACATTTTGAATTGAAAATATTAGTATTTTTCAGTTAGATTGTGTCTTAGTTACTTTTCTCATTGGTAAGACAAAATACCTGACTTGCAAAGTAAAAGGGGGAAGGGTTTGTTTGGCTCACAGTTCGTAGAGGTTTCAGTCCATATCGGCTGTCTGCAAGGCAGGGTGGAACATGGCAGATGTGCCGCACATGGCAATGAAAGACAGCAAAATCGACAAGAGCAAAAAGAAGAGACAAGCCTCTTTCTGCCCCCTTTTATCTTATTCAGACTGCTGGGATTAGGGTGTTGCCAGTCCAGTCAGTGGGCAGTCACCCACCTTTAATCGCAGCACCCTTAATCCCAGCATTGCACTCCGAATCAGTCACAAACTCCAGATTCAGTTGCCTTGGAAGAAACCCCATCTAAAGGTGTGTGAGGCTTTGGGGAGACATCTAGACACAAATCATAACAGATTGGTATTTTGGATTTGGGGTTATTTTTGCAGAAGGAAATTTGGCAAGATACACATATGTTGTAAAGACTGATTCTATTCATATTAAACTGATCTTGATCATTTTTAACTTGCATTATTCAAACTTTTAAAAAAGGATTTAGCAAAGACTTAAATTGTTTACCTTTTCTTATTTTGCAAAGTCTGTACTTTGTAATGTTCCTTGCATAGAAAATTGAACATATGGCCTATACTGTGGTTCCTGGGCTTATTCAGCTGCTGGAGGTATAGCCAGGAGTTTAGGTACTGTAGTAGGAAATGCCGAGAAGTCATTAGTCAGTGGTGGTGGAAGGGGAGATGAATAACTTGAATTTAAGTTGTTCTCCTGCCTCTAAGAATTCCTTTATAAAGAAGTTTTGGACTGCCTCGTAGGCGCCCAGAAGGAGAGCCCCCTGTGCAGGGGGAGCCACGTGGCGGCGAGCACTGTTGCGCGCTGGCGCCGCTCAATTGAGAACTACCATGACACAGAGAAACAGTGACAGAATTGGCCCACCATGCACCAGCTGCAGATGCCCACCCATGGACCTGTGTGAATCATTCAAACATGGAAAAACCTCTGGGAATACATGCTATACAATGGGCCACTCTTGCTTCTGCCATTGAGAACCAGAAAGGTCTGGAGTCAGCAGAGGAGCAGCTGCTGAACAAGGACTCGGAGAACATGACAATGCAGACTAAGCCTGAGGGGTCAGAGGTCCTGTGGACTGGGGTCATGAGAGCCGCTTGGAAGCTGTAAACCAGGAGGACCTTGCACAATACATGTGGAGACTCCCTGGAAGCCATTCTTCCCCTGACAGTACAGGCTGTGGTGGAGCTCCGGAGAAGTCTGCAGCAGGATTCCTGCTGCCTGTGCTGACAGTTGGGGAGAGGACACTAACTGGTTGTGGGGCCCCAATGCGATGGGAGGCTGGAGAGAAAACGCTACAAAAAATGGCTTTGGCCCCAGACGACTCACTTGATTTTTGACAACCCTTAGGCTGTAACTACTTGTTAGATCCTTCTTGCGTATCTCTGTCTTCCTGAGAAACCACTTTGAAGATACCACCATGTATTACAGCAGTCATTGATATTTTCCTACTAATCTATCCATAACACTGCAATGTTTATATTGTTCCTATCCTATTTCATAAATGGATGCATGTCTATCATTATGTTTTTCCTACAACAACCATTGAGAAAAGTTAATGATTATTCAATAGGTCACTCATGTATAGCTCTATTTATTTTCTTTAGAAGCCACTTTGAAGATACCAGAGTATAGTACCACTATTGATAATCTCCTACCTCTTTTGTCTGTAACTCACTATTATTTGTCTATTTGTTTTCCTGAGAAACTATCTTGTAGATAACAATATGTAAAACAATAACCATTGATAATTTCCTACCACTTTGTCTGTAATTTGGTAAGCCCCCCCTATTATTATGTTATCCTTCTTTTACTCTTTAAAATTGAAAAAAAAAAGTTTTGGAGAGAACAGAGGAAGAGGGCAGGAGGGAGATTTTCCTTCCCCCATTTTAAAGGTTTTTCTGTATAACTATTCAGGTAGACAGTTCTTTATCTTAAATTGCTCATTGAAAAATGGAGAAATAGGGGCTGGGGATTTAGCTCAGCGGCAAAAGCGCCTGCCTGGCAAGCGCAAGGTCATGAGTTTGGTTCCCGGTACCGGAGAAAAACCAAAAAAAAAAAAAAGAGGAAAAAGAAAAATGGAGAAATAGGAAGAACTTTACTCACTGTTCTTCCATCATATGACCACATATTCATTGTATTTCTGTTTCAGTGTCCCACCCAAAAAACAGTTATTCAACCAGATCCCGATGTAACTCAGTCATACCTGTGTCCTTGAGTGGCTCTAGTGACGCCTGTGCTGCTTCCTCTTCCACCTGTGCCTCTGCTCCCAGCCTGACAGGTGCTAGCAAGAGAAATTCTGCATCAGGAGAAGCTCCTGCAGCTACAGCAAACTCTAGCAGCCGGCCCTGCCAGCCTCATCGGGAGGTAATCCAGCTTCCACACCGAGCCTGTGAGAGAGAAAAGGCACCCAAGGTGTTTAAGTACTAATAGCTATGTCCTGTCTCTGTCCATATGTATATGTCACATACACATTTACAGCTTGTGGTTTTGTTTTTTTTTTTTTTTTTTTTTTTTTTTTGTCTTTTAGAGACAGAGTCTCACTATGCAGTTCAGGCTGGTCTTGAGCTCACTTTGTAGCCCAGGCTAGTCTCGAATTTGCAACGATTGTCCTGCCTCAGCCTGCTGAATGTTGGAATTACAGGGGTGCGCCACTACATCCAGCTTCACAGCTACCTCATGTTCCATGGAGAATGATACTCTTTTAATAACATAGGGTATCTGGAAAATTAATAAAAAGGATTTTTTACATGTTGGAATTCTACATCCTGTGCTTACTAAAACTTTGATTTTGTTTTATATCTGGTCTTTTGTTGCTATGTAATCATTACTGTTCATATCAGAACAGTAACATGCCTAAGCTGATCAAAAACACCCATATAATGCTGAGACCCGATAGCCAATCAGGCAGCAGGAAGCAGCTCAATATTACCTTTCTCCCTCTCTACCTCCCCATCCCCTCCCCTCCCTTTCCCCCTTCCCCCTTCCCCCTCTATTTATTTGTTAGTTAGTTTGTTTTTTGAGACAGGGTCTCGCTGTGTAGTTGAGGCTGGCCTGGAATTCACTTTGTACCCCAGGCTGGCCTGGAACTCATGACAGTCCTCCTGCCTCAACCTCTCAAATGCGGTACAGGTGTGTACCACCGTGTCTAGCTTACCTTCCTCTCTCCATTTTCATTCCATACCTATTTTGCATCCCTGCAGCCCCCAAGTAGTTCCTGAGAAAGCATTTGATACGATATTCCAAAGCAGCAGACAGTTTAGACTTGTAGCCAAGAACTGCTGATTTTTTTATATTGGCACTAACCCTTACTTTTGTAGGTAGCACTGCTTGGTAGTTAGTCACGTTGGGAGTCGTACACCCATCTCAAGGTAGACAAACAGTGGCAGTGGTCCTTTTACCAGCGTGCATCTGAAAGTGTAACTCCCTAGAAGCTCATTGTGAATGTCAGGGGAAGAGAAAGTGAACCTTACAGGGGTAGAATAACCACCAGCCTATAATTTCTTCTTGTTTTGGAGAATAATAGCAGTCCAAGTCAGTGCTGTCAGAATTCTTCAGGACTGGTTTGGCATTGAGGTTTGTCGGACAAAGAAGAAACCCCATAAGACATATGCCTTTTGGATTGCATTGTGCAATGTATTAAATGTCACAGAAGCGTGGTTTAACCTTTGGTTCATGCTGTCTACTAAAGCAGACCATAATGCTGCTTTTTTATTATTTCACATGTTCCATTATCTTTACAAATACCTTATGATCTACAAAGTTCAGACATACAAGATATATGTCCAATTAAGAGCTTGGAACAACCTCAAGAATTGTTTGTCTTGCATGGTAGCTTTCTTCCCATGCCTATCTAAAGTGAAGTAAACTCAGTGGGGTAAAGGCAGGGAAAGATTATTGGAAAATGTACTACGTGTGATATAGTGGGTAGGTCAGATTGGCTGACAAAATTCTGAGTTTCAGACATGAGATACTGGGATTATGCTTTCAGAATACTCCATAAACTAAACTGAGACCAGAATGCCAGAGTACGTTGAACATTGTATTCTTTTATCCTTAGGTGTTGCCGGGAAACAGAAGAGGACAAGGTTATAGGCCACAAGGCCAGAAGTCCAATGACGCTGCGAACCAAGGACGACATGACAGTGCGGGTCATTACAGAAATAGCTCGTGGTATTCATCTGGTTCCAGGTATCAGAGTGCTCCATCCCAGGCGCCAGGAAACACTAGTGAGCAGGTCCAGGCTCACTCTGCAGGGACCAGTGGAAATGGAGCCACCATGGAGCCTAGCCCATCTAAACCCTCATTCAGAAAGGGGCTCCCCCAGCGCAAACCCAGAACCTCTCAGCCCAGAGCTGCGAACTCTTGAGAGAAATTCCAGGGAAATTCCAGTCGCTTCTCTACCCCACACAATTCAACATGATAACTGGACTTTAGGAAATATGTAGTTAGGTTTAATAACAAAAAGAAGTTTATGCATATCACTTTCTGTGCCATTCTAAATATTTTTTATTTCTTCTCTCCGTATATCTTCTTTATTTTCAGAGGGGGAGTTGTTTTTTCCCTTGACTTTTCCCGATGATATGCTGATTGTGATCGGTCTTTCCCACCAGGGATCAGGGATAACAGGGGCCAGGTTTCCCAAGGGTGAGCAACATTGCACCAGGTCTTCCATCTGCCCAAAGAGGCCTTACCCAACAAGCCCCCGCTATCGAGGCTGTCTCAGGAGGAGTGGGTCAGAGATAGACCTGTCACCTTCTTACTATAAGCAGAAGCCATGGATTCCTGCCAGGTCCACTCTAAAGAACAGTTTCACCAGGAAGGGATTGTCTGTTGCACTGGATTAGCCAGAAAAGAGTGCAAATTGGTGAAAAAGAGAACACAAGGAAACATTGGATAATCTGCCTCTGTCCCAGAACGTGCCTGAGACTTGACACTGGAAGCAGGGTTTCAGCTCCCTGCTTGGCATCATAGCTTACCCTGTGGTTCTTCAAAATGCCCAGAGCCTTGTTTCCTGTGACCGTAGGCCAGCCTGAGGCTGCAGACCACTCTGAGGAAGTCTATAGGAAGTTAGCATTCAAGGAAAGTTTTTTAAAAGTTGTAAATACATACCTCTTTGTTTCAGTGTTTCGAGATTTTTGTTGTTGTTCGCCTCCTTTCCTGAATCCTGTTCTTATCCTGCACCACATTTATAGCAATATAATTAGTGTTAATCTGTTGCCCATCAAAAATTGCTGCAGTCAATCTTTATAGAGGAATAAATAAAAATAACTGTATAAATGTTCCCACGTTTGCTTCACAGCAGCAAGTGACTTCCTTACCTGTTTTTCTTCGGGCCTTATGGGTAGAAGTCGCTCAGACAGCTTGTTCTGTGCTTCAGAGAAGGTGTCTGACTCCTGAGTCATTTGTCCCCTGCTGCTTAGCTTCGGGACCAGATGAAAATGTGAAAGCCAGCCATGAGAAAATGCAGCTACTGTGGGAAAAGATCCAAATGGTGACATTGCCAAGGAGAACTTAACCAGTTTAGAAAAACCTCAGCTGTTAACCATTCCCCTGGGCAACCAAAGGTTATATTTACACAACCCCCCACATGCCTTGATAGAAGTAGTGAATGTAACAGTGTAATGAAGCTCCTGCATGTAGCAGGTGGCACTGGTGCCAGACCCTTCCGCCCCACTCCTCCCTCCAGCTCCAGAGATTTAATAACAGCAGAGCTTGTGTTCCCCCAGCCCAGACGGTGAGTGGCAGTGGTGCAGAACTTAGCTGCCTCAGGGCTTCCCCTGGCTCTTTGGCTGAAGCTGAGCTGCCAGGGATCTGGTTGATCTAACAGAGAGAGACAGACAGACTGTTCGTACTGTCTTTTGATAAAGAAACCAGTAGTCAAGGGATATTGGAAAGCTATTTTCTGAGGAACCATTTGCCTCATTCTGGGGGATTTGTCCAAAACGGTCAGCCTGCACAGGTGTCAGGAAAAAGCCATGCTTTCCTGATACTTGCTTACTAGAAAGGAAATCCAGAGGTTGAAGCAGCCTTGAAGGATTAAGAGGTCTATCCCTGTATGCAGGCAATATCAAATACCGGGTTAAATAACCTTTCGTTACTGCAGTCTGATCAGGCCCGCAATCTGCCAAGCGAGTGGACGGCGAAGGCTGAAAGAAATGAGACAATGAAAATGATTTCAGGGCTCCAGGTGGAAGTAACTCTCTTACAGCTTTGATATTCTCTACGTTTAGCCAAAGACTTCTCTGGGCAGCCCATATTTGTTTAGTTTTCAAACAAAGGAGGAGGATAGTCAAGAAAATGTGGGAATCTCACAGGACCTTGGGAGAATTTTCCCAGGTAGTCAATGATGTCAGTTAAGAGAACTACCTTATCTTTAGGTTGGTATTTATTGTAGGAGTATGGAGCCTGCAGCTGCAGTCTCCTTGTAGTTAATTGGGGTTGGAGCCAAAGGTCCTCAGTTGTGGCCGTATCTTGTCCATGGCTTTACAGGTAAATACAGGCCTGAGGGTGATAAGAGACTCACAGAGGTTTACTTACATGAGTGTACTGCCTATGTTCATACAAGGTGCCTAAGCTTCAGACAACTCACAAGTAAATAAGGAAAGCCAATTGGTTCATATTAAATCCTGCTCAGAGACACTTTGTAGTGGTCTCCTATGGGGATAATATTATCCCTTAGTTATCGTGGGCTGATTGAGTCCGCAGTCTCCTGATAGAGTATACAGTGGAAGGAAAATAGAAAGAGGCAAATGGAATGATTTCAGGGGCTCAGGAGGATCAAAGCCCTCTCACACAACATAAGGTTCTCTCTGGGCTAAGACCAAGACCTTCTCTGGGTCGCCCATATTTATTTAGTTGTTATCAGAAGGAAGGGGTATACTCAAGAAGGGCAGAACCACTGAATGATTTCTCTAAGTCGGGTATTAAGTCAATCCACTGAAGAATGCGATATCCAATTGAAATCTGATGCAGGTGTCCCTGGCTGTGATCCTGGCTTATCCTTTGAGGCTTTCTGGCTTCCTCCACCACTACAGGTTCTACTAGGGATTAACTATGAGTGCGCCGTTTCCAGATAAGGAACCTAGGCCTTGGACACATTCACAAGTAGACACGGGAAGGCAATTGGTTAATATGAAATCCTGCCTGGAGCCACCTTGTGGTGGTCTCCAACAGTCTCCAACAAGGCAAGCCTGTATGTAACCACCCAGCCAAATGAGAAGTCACATCTCTGACAAAATGGCCTTGGAAGTTGAAATTAAAATGCCCTTTTAGAAAAACACTTCAGTTTTTCATGACTATAGAAACTGAAAATTATGTGGTTCATTTCACTGTTTTGTTTCAGATTACAAAGTCAGTGTTTAAAATACCAAAAAATAGAAAAATGTAAAATTTTTCATATTCCTATTCCACTCCTCAGGGATAATGACTAATTTAGCATATATCCTTCTAGACCTTGTTTCAAGGCATAAATGTCATCGACACAAACATACAGGTTTGTAATATTCTTTTTTGCAGTCCTGAAGACCAAATTTCTTGGTGTTTTATTTGGGTTAGGGTTAGAGGGTTAG